GGGTCATAGTCAGCATTTCTCTCCCTCCAAATACGGCGAGTCGAGTTAATGCCAAAGAGCTCAATTTTGGTCTCATCTGACCACAGAACTTTCTCCCAAGCCTTCTCTGAATCCTTCAAAGGTTCATTGGCAAACTTTAAACGGGCCTGTACATGTGCCTTCTTGAGCAGGAGGACCTTGCGGGCGCTGCAGGATTTCAGTCCATTGCGGCGTAGTGTTACACCAATGTTTTGCTTGGTGACTGTGGTCCCAACTGCCATAAGATCATTAACAAGCACCTCCCGTGTAGTTTGGGGCTGATCCCTCACCTTTCTCATGATCATCCTTACCCCATGAGGCGAGATCTTGCACGGAGCTCCAGACCGAGGCCGATTGATGGTTGTTTTGTATTTCTTCCATTTCCGAATAATCGCACCAACAGTTGTCTCCTTCTCACCAAGCTTCTTGCTGATGGTCTTGTAGCCCATTCCAGCCTTGTGCAGATCTACAATCTTGTCTCTGACATCCTTTGACAGCTCTTTGGTCTTGCCCATGGTGGTGGGAGAGGTTGGATTAGAATATATAGATTGTGTGGACAGGTGTCTTTTATACACCTAACGAGCTGACATTAGGAGTAACTTCTTAAAGTGACAGGACTAATCGTTGTTCCTCATGGGCTCATAACCAATCTGTGTCCACATGGGCACATAACCAATCTGTGGGAGCCAGAATTCTTGCTGGTTGGTAGGGGATCAAATACTTATTTCACTCACTGAAATGCAAATCAATCTCTAACCTATATATAATGTGTTTTATTTTCTGGATTTTTTGGTTGGTATTCTGTCTCTATCCATTAAAATAAACCTACAGTAAAAATTACAGACCCTTCATTTCTTTGTAAGTGGGCAAACTTACAAAATCAGCAGGGGATCAAATAAATATTTTCCCCACTGTATAGTGTGCCATTCAATACCACATTTAAAATGTAAAAATGAAAGTGAACCTATTTTAAATGTACCTAAATATGACATACAAGTTTCAAACTTACATTAACATATATTTTAGTTTACCACAAATGTTCTCAGTACATACACTTTAACAACATTTAAAAAAACAACAAGTAATTATGGAATTACATAGTAATATAAACTTAAGTCTTAGGTGGGTCAAAATAAGCACTCTAAAGCCCATCTAACTGAATTTAACATAAATTTAAACTATATTACATTTTAATTTCACGGCTTGCGAAAGCATCACATTCAGGATCGTACTTCAGTACATTCTTTTAAAATATATTTCCAAAATAAGAATGCTGAAACATTCTTTTTCAAAACGGTAGTCATGGCATTAGCTGAAAACCTGGATAAAAACAGGATTAGTAAGCAATTTTTTCACACTCATGTTAAAGGGGTCATATGATGTTGCTAAAAAGAACATTATTTTGTGTATTTGGTGTAATGAAATGTGTTTATGCGGTTTAAGGTTCAAAAAACATTATTTTCCACATACT